CAATACTGAGCAGCGCTGAGAGTTGCAATTGGAGGGTCACATTACTTCTGGAGCACAGACTGCTTTGAAAAAGCCTATTTCAATTTGCAAAGTATGCTGATGCAATACACTGCTGTTGTGCTCAGTAAACATGTTAGTTCCACTTTGTCTCATCCACCATATACTACACAATCTGAAATATCTGCTGAGCAGCAGTACAACAAACGTCAGTAAAATGTCAGCGAACATTGTCAGTAACCACATAGTGGCCTCTAGGACATTTATTTCCTGATTCAAGTTGAGATGAATACTGCAGAACTCGGCAACCGCAGTGTCATAATTTTTGGTGAAAAGCAGTTGCTATTTTATGGATAACCACAGTGGCATTGTTGTTTAACATCTGTTTAACTGAACAGTGGCATCCTGTTTAACATCTTCATTAATCATCTGGATGATGGGGCACAGTGTAACCTCAGCGAGTTTGCAGGTAACACAAGAGGAGGAGGAGTGGCTGGTGTGCCAGAGGGTTGTGCTACCATCCAGAGGGATCTTGACAGTCTGGAGAAATGGGCTGACAGGAACCTCATGAAGTTCAACAAGGAGAATTGCAAAGTCCTGCATCCATGGAGAAACAATCCCGTGCACCAGTATATGCTGGGGGCCACCCAGCTGGCAAGCAGGCTGGCAGCAAATGACCTGGTGGTCCTGGTGGACACCACATTGAACATGCGCCAGCAATGTGCCCTTGCTGCAAAGAAGGCAAATGGTATCCTCAGCTGCATTAGACAACGTATTGCCAGCAGGTTGAGGGAGGTGATCCTTCCCTTCCAGTCACCACTGGTGAGGCCACATATTGAGTACAGCTAACAACCACCAGGGTCTCTGGAGAAGTCTCTGTCCATGACAAATTGACAAAATGGAGTCATGGCCTCTATTCGTTCCTGGAGCAGGAGGAGTATAGCGATGTGTATCTCATACTGTCTCATCTAGCAACTAGAAAGTACTTTTTAAGCACTCCCTGAGGCATCTAGAATGCTTCTGCTGATGGCTGCCTTGTAGACATATAAATAAAGAGTTTCTCAGACCACAGGACAGATTGAGGGCTGCTGCAGGGCACAGTCATATCTGTTCTGCTTCTCTCAGCTTTTACTAGTATGAACTCTGATTTAAAAGACTGCCATGGCCCTGTTTGTGTCACTGCCAAGTATTTATTTTTCTGTAATGAAGCTGTCATTTAATGTAGATTCATAGAATAATTTAAGTCAGATGGGATCTTTGGAGGTCATCTGGTCCAAAGCATTTTTTTAGTATCTCAGAGAACAGGGATCCCACAGCTTCTCTGGGCAACCTGTTCTAGCATTTGATCACCCTAACTGTAAAGAATCCTTTCCTTGTATCTAGTAAGAATTTCCTCTGCTACAACTTGCACCCGCTGCCTCTCATTCTTTCACTGTGCACTGCCAGGAAGACTATGGGTCCATCTTCTCCATAGCTAATCATTAGGTTGTTGAAGACAGCCAATTAATTCCCCTGTTGGCCTTCTCTTCTCCAGACCGAACAAACCCAACTCTCTCAGCCTCTCCATTATAGTCATTGTGCTATTGTTTCCCTGTGTCAAATATGGCACAGCAGTGTATGTCCTTTACTCATTGAAGATATTAGTAATATTTAATTAATCATATTTATTAATGATGCAAGACTGGCTAAGTGGGACTCAACTGTCTGTGTCTTTACTAGCCAGAGCGCTCAAGGATTGCTACCGTGTTAATCCTGTGTGGTAGAGGCAGAAACCATTTCTAAAGGCCCAGTCCAGAATGTACTGAAATCAAAGTCAAAACTCAGTTTTGGCTTTAAGTCAAGACACTCCAGTTTTCAGACCCTTTACATCTCTTTTCACAATGAAACAGAAAAAGAGGAGTTCTTCCCACTCAGAGGAAAATACCACTTGATATTTTTCAATAGGTCCAACAAACACTTGAAAAGAGTTCCACTGCATTATGCACAAATCAGAATTAGAGACAAAGGAGGTTATTCCTCATCTACAGAACAGATGTACTTTCACAATGTATTCTTAAGTCTTCAGATCTCTCTGTGGATTTCGAAGGCCCAAACAGAAGCAGATCCACTGCATCACAATATTTTATTACTCTACATGATGCTAATAACTACACCCATTTTCCCAGTTGCCATTCTTTCATGAAGATACCACTCATATTTCTTGCTTTTGGTGTTTTAACATGACAGCAATAATTGCTGACTATATGCATTAATATAGGTCAACTCATGGGGTCCACCCCTAGAGCAAATGGCAGCATGGTAGGCATTACACCCTCCCTCCATGACACATAAGGGACTTCCTCTCCAGCTACTTGGTGCATAAGTAGCTGCCTATCCTGTGTGCAAGCCAGTGCGGGCAGAGCTGGCAGGATACCATCTGTTGGACCGGAGTGGAAACGTAGAGCAGTGCGTTGTCCAGATGGCAACCACGGGCTACACTTCTATCGAACAGACACCTTTGCCTTGGAGAATGGGTGTGATGGTGAGGGCCACACTTGGGTACCTCTCTGATGGAGCAGGCATGCCGTACTGGTCTTTACTCAGACAAATTCCTTTGGCTTCATTTGAAATTTGCTTGAATGAAGACTAACAAATATCTTGGGATTTGACTATTGCATCTCATTTGCTTCCAGGAAGATGGTGATGGTAAAAATAACAATGAGAACCTTGTGATTAATGTCACATTTAAATTTACATAAAGGACAATGATGCATTTGAGAAATTTCTCATGCTCTTAAGGGATTTGGGTAAGTGAAAAGAGAATCTGAAATGAGAGCAGGATTTTGCCCACACTGCATTTATTTTTTTACTACTTTCACCAGTCTAGGGAACATTAAAATTGTACTTTTGTCATGACTCTCACAGAAGAGCCCCTGATTCTCATGTTTTGTTTTGCTTTGGTTGTTGGGTGGTTGGTTGGTTTTTTGGGTTTTTTGTTTTGATTTTTTTTTTTTTTTACTATAACCATGACTTCTGTTATCTTGGGATTTTTGCATGTGGGTGGATGGATGTGACGGTAAAGAGTTGAACCAGTTCAATGAGAACCCTGCGAGCTGCCAAACTAAACC